ACACAGGCCTGGTTGAAAGGGAAAAATGGACTGTTTTAAAATGGCCAGCAATGAGTCCTGATCTCAATCAGCTCTGGGAGGGTTTTCTGTCCTCATGCAAAATGAAGCAGATACCATCCAGAACCTGACAAATTCGCTGGACGAGAGAGTTCAGAAGCTCGTTTCGAACAAGGGGTCCTATGTGCAAATGTAACATCACCTTGAATTAAGTTTAACTGTTTGATTTCAGTTTGTAATAACCTGCTAATGCTTATAATTTCACAAATGACCATTTTTTTGTTCTTTATAAAAATGAAAAGGTTGAAAACTCTGCTGTGCATAATAATTTGGAACATGCATAGTTTTAATGTTTTTAAATATACAGATATCATTGGCAGTTTGTTAAAAAACCTTTCAATTGTACTCTAATCCTCGATGACTGGAAAATTACAATGACTGCAATTTATATAGGTAATTTTTGAAAATCTGAGAAATTATTTGCATAATAATTTGGAACTCTGTAAATTCTAAATGGCCACCACAGTACATAGTTTCTTACCAACACAACTTTACGTCARGTAGTTTCTCAAATACTGACCTAAAATTTGACTTTGTGAAAACAGACTGATCTTTAACGTACACATTTGGACGCAGCTGATAGGTTGACATRTGCGTTTACAATTTAACAGTTCTGTCTGTCAGCAAAATGTCCTACTTCATCATCACCAATAGACAATATTCTCTTCCTTCCTATCTGGAATACCAACTTTCCTCCTCCAAGCTCCAGACCCTCCTTCATAGAGGTAAAACAGAGAGGATGTGTTTCTACACTCTGACAACGATTGTAGACTGTATCAAAGACCACGCTCCTCACTGGTTTTGTTTTTTAGTGTGATTATTATGGTTCCATCTTGTTTTTGTTCAATCTTTGTTACACAGCAACTTGATGCCCCACTTCTTGGTTTTAAAATTTTTAATACAATAAAATCTTTTTTTTTTCATCAGCATGAGAAGAGATGAACTTGCTGCCATCTCAGGACCAAATGAGTTTGCAGAGTTCTACAACCGYCTGAAACTGATTAAAGAGTTTCATCGAAAGCATCCAAACGAGGTATAAATCGTCCTCYTGAGGTTTAGATAACACAGTGTGTAATGTGCCTGTGAAGATGTCTCTCTGCTATTGTTGCTTTTTTTATTTTCTGTAGGTTTCCATTCCCATGTCTGTCGAGTTCGAAGAGTTGATGAAGGCCAAAGAGAACCCCAGRGAGGAGGCTCAGAGTAAGTCAGTTTGGTTCAATGTTCACTCATTCCTTCATATATGATGAACAAATGTGTGTGAAGAATAAGAAAAGATCAACAATAATAAAAGAATAGTTCAACAGTAAGAAAAGCCCCTTCTCAAATTACAAGCCTCACTCTCTTCTGTTTAGTTGTCTTTTAATTGTTTGCATCCCTAGTCATGACAAATTTTTAAGAGGCTATACATTATACCTAAATATTTAACAGTGGTGCAACAATACAGAACATTCATGATTCAGTTTGATGCTTTAGTGTCYTGGTTTGATTTATTTATTTTTTTAATACAAGAAAGAGAAGTGTCCATGCCTTTCTTAATTTGTAATGTATTGAAATTATGATTTTTTTAACCTCAAAAGTTCAGTTTTTAAATAAAATGTTGCTGAAACAGCATGTTTCTCAGTGGATCTGTGCTCCACACTGCAGCCTAGGTGAAATAGTCGAACACAAATCCACTGAACCTTTAACACAACACAAATTAAATGTCACAATCTGTGTTTTGTTGACACTGAGAGCATACCCTGAGTATAAACCATGTTTCTAACATTTTCATTAACAATGGTAGACATGGGATTTTAAAGGGCCTGTGACATCACATTTTTGTAATACATTTGAATGCATTTTTAGAAAGAGGACATTGATAAAATATTGCAAAAGAAATTTCATGTCACTGAGATGAACAGTTGTTGAGATATTTGCCTGTGAAGTAACAGGAAGTGATGTCATAGGGGAATGTCTGCAATGAACAGAGTGTTGCTACAACAGCTAACAGACTGTAGAGAAGAATCTGATGTTTCTTAAGGTATTTTGAGTCTCTATCAGAGAGATGAAGAGTCAGAGTTCATAATATATTGTTTCAGTAAACAAAGACCAGAGTTTTCTTTGTTAAAGAGTTCCCCTTTGATGTCACTTCCTGTTTCATTTTGGCTGAGCCAAGTTCAAAAGAAAATATGCCAGTTATGAGACAAAATGGGTTAAATTGTGTGTATTATCCCAACTTTCTTAAATATAAAGATGTTTTCTTTGACTTTTGGTATTTGAAGCATGTCACAGACATTTTAAAGGGATCCCCGATTAGTTGTAACATTAGACTTTATTTGATAAACATTTATTTTAACTGTAAAATAAAGACTGTAAAAATACTGTAGGCTGTTTAGTTTTTATAATTTCTTTAACTACAAGTTTAAAAACATATAACACGGACAGGGCCATTTTATTTAAATGCAAAGCATTCTGGGTAAATGATGACATGGATAGGTCCTCGGTGC